TGGTACCCAAGGGCTATGCTAACTAGCTGGGATCAGTGGGAACCCACCCGGGAGCTTCCCTGAGCAGAAGGTAAAGGTCCCAGGGGAAAGGCCATCACCTGTGTTTTCCCAGATGGGTGACTAGATGCTGGTGGGAAACCACAAATGGTCAGTCAGACAGCTCTCTACAATGCCCACAGACCAAAGCTCTTCTGTCCTGCCTGATTCTGGACAATTCTAACCCCTAGTCAGGAGACCACCAGTCACATTGAATGTTCCATTTTATAAATGGATACTGTGTTAGTCTGGGTACATTAGAGAAACGAATCCACAGAAACTCATATGTATAAAACAGAGTTTTACATTAAGAAAGCATCCCAACCCAGTGCTGCCCAAGCCCACAAGTCCAACATTAGTCCATATGTCTGACACCAATCCACAAAGTCCTCCTCCATCTCACAAAACACACGCAATGATGCCGAATGCAGGAGGAAAGCTGAATCAGTGAATGTGTAAGCATTCCGGCACTGGCAGGGATCTCCACACGGCTGCTCCAGCACCCAGGGCTGCATCGCAGTAGGTCTATGTGGCTTCTCGGGGATATCTTGCAGGAAGTGAGCCTTTCCAGTTGAAACAGAACTGCTAAGGCAGCTGCATCCTGGTCCAACCATCAGAAAGCAGGCGACCTGAGAACTGGAAAGGTGAGGCTCCCCAAGCCATTTATCGCTCTGCTCTTCGATTGATCCCACATGTGCTTATCAGCCAGGTTGGCACAGTAAACCCTACCTATCTCAATATATGAGTTTCTGTGGATTTGTTTCTCTAATGTACCCAGACTAACACAAATACTAAAGCTCAGAGTGGGGAGACCACACCCCAAAGGGTGGCACAGATACACAGAAAAATCTCACAATTTACACAATTGATGTATGTATGGATTGTGATGAGTTGTATGAGCCCCTAATAAATCGATTAAAAAAATGGCCTCACTATGAAATATGCTGACCTTTCAGATTATGTGTATATGTATGTATGTAGCTATGTTTGGATACATATGTATTTGCACGCACACACATAGATGCTTCAAAATACACAAAGAAGGCCACAGAATCAAAATTATCCAATGACTAAGTATCTATAAAAGGTAATACTTTGTCCTCATTAATTGTTAAATCTGGCATCCTTGTGCATGGCATGAATCTCTCATCCTTCTGCAGACAACGAAAGGAAGCCTCACAGGGCAGGGATCCATTCACAAATAGGGGCAGCCCCTGCCAAGACACCATGCCCAGTAGGAAATGAAATGGCTTTCTCACAGTCAACCCGTCTCACAGAGGCAAACTTACTGAAAGCCTCTGAAACGCGCCTGGCCACGTGCTCACTCTGCGCGCGGACCGAGGGCCGTGGCCTTTCCTGGAATGCGTGTGCCCGGGAGGAGCCGCTGGCTCACTGTCGGGTCCAGGAAGGAAGTCCCTTTCAGCCGGTGGGCCATGTGGTCCCTGGCCCTATGATTTAACTGGGCCGCTGTGGCTAGAAGCGGCCCTCCGAAAGAGAAGCAGCCCACGGCCATCGAGTGGGTGGATGCTGACTCACAGCCGGCCTGCAGGGCAGGGAGGGAAGCACTGCCCCTGTGGCGTCCGAGACTGTGACTCTCCACGGAGTAGACAGCCTCGCCTTTCCTCACAGAGCCGCTGGTGGTTCCCGCCAGCCATCGCGTCACCACTACGCCCCAGGCTCCTTTAGAAGCAGCCGAAGACAGGACATCCGTACATGAGCTTGGGTGAGTTACAATAAAGCTTTGTAAGAGCAGCGGTTCTCAACCCACCGCAAACCCTTCGTGGGCCGAACCACCCTTGCCCGGGTCGCCCGACTCATAACAGTAGCAAAATGACAGTGATGAAGTAGCAACGAAAATAATTTTATGGTTGGGGGTGGGGAGGGTCACCACCACAT